TAATATAAAATATAATATAATATAATATAATATAATATAGTATAATATAATATAATATAATATAATACAATATAATATAACATAATATTATATATATATACACATACTATGATATGTTGTAATATATTATACTAAAAGACAGGGAAAAGCCTGGCACCGAGGCAAAGGGCCGGCGTCAGTGCGCAGTCCACCGCCAAGCTCGCGAGGCTCCCCAGAGTTCCTGAGACGAGGCAAAAAAAGGGGCACATCTAGCCTCTTCCTGCCTATATCTATATCTCTATATCTCTATATCTCTATATCTCTATATCTCTATATATATATGTATATGTATATGTATATGTATATCTATATCTATATCTATATCTATATCTATATCTATATCTATATCTATATATATATATACCTGGAGGGTTAGGAATAGTTAACTACGCGGGCACCCGCTATATCCGCTACTCTTTCCGCTCTAATCGCTACTGTTTCCGCCAGCTGACATCTGACTAGAGCCTACAGTATCTCCTTCCTGGGTATGGCGACAGACACAGCCCAGGCTGAGCTCCAGCGCTTTGGCTCTCGGGGTCGTCGCGAACGGGCCCGATGGGTCCTCGCTCGCTCGCTCTCACTCTCTCACTCACTCTCTCTCTCTCTCTCTCTCTCTCTCTTTCTTTCGCCAGGGCTACGACCGAGGGTTGCCCCTCGATCGCGCGCATCAGCGCCCCCGTATGTTACGGGGCCAGTGGTGAGATTATGTGCAACGCAACATGAAGGCAATCAGCGATCAACCTGAACATCGACAAAAACAACTACAGTCGAGAGGCCCTTGGATTGCCCGAATGTTGGTGGTTCACTGGGAGATTCCCCAGGGTTGCCCTATGGTCATGGTCCAGTCGCTTGGATATGGGAAGCAAACAAGGTTCGCTGGTCGCCTGCTTGGTTGAAGTGGTCCTAATGTCTTGCTGGACCTATTCCACAGGGCTCCAAATCTGCCCTTTCCGGCTTGCTGCAGCTATGGGGAGAGGTTATGGGGACCATCCCCGAAGAAACACAAACTCCCAACGACACAGGACCTACCGAAGTCAAACCCTCAACGACACCGGACCTACCGAAGTCAAATGAACCTGAACTGGCAGGCTGCAGCGCGGTCACAGAAGGGTCACCCCTACTGAGTTGACAGCTGACGAGGGCAGATTCACTCGTAGAGGTAGGGGGTCTCCCCCTGCTTCCAGAAAGTGTTCCCTAGCAACGACCGAAGGAACCCCAAGCAAAGCCCACCACAACCTACCGAAGTCAAGGGAACCTGAACAGAAGGAAACCCCCTGCCCTTTCCCTACCTATGCTGGCTCAGCGGCTTCACTGCGTCGCTGTTCACAGGTCACTCTCAGTCGCTGAAGGCCGCGTGTGCCCGTCGTCTACGGTGTGATTCTGCAGTGACTGTTTCCTCGTCACTGTCCTCTGCTGGCAAGGTAGGAGGAAGCACTCCTCCAGCGAGGTCATCCCCATTGTATCCGCCCCCAAGAGCAGCGGGGCCATGTCCCCCGTACGAACTGCCGGCGCTGTCCGAGAGGATGATGGGTTCGCCCCATAGCCCCGTCGTCCACTGAAGCAGAAAGGAATGGGCCTCTTGTAGCGCGACTGCCACCTGCTGTTCCGTGAAGGGCAAGACTTCCTCCAAGATGCGTTGCGCTCGGAGTATATTGTAGGGGGCCGATCCTGGTTCCGGCAAGCTGCACGTTCGTTGGGGAGCTCCCCGATCTGGTAGTGGGCGGGCTTCTAGTGGTACAGGTACAGCAGGAGGTAGAGGCTCAGGTTCCGGTGCAGACACATTGCGTCGATTGGCTGGGGGGCCCCCCGGCGCTTCACTTCCAAACTGCGGTTGGGAGTTGCTTCCCGTGGCAGTTTCGGTACGCCGGCGTTTCGGGGATGGACTCCCCTCTTTTGCCCCCTCTTGAAACTGTCTTTCAATCCAGTCCAAGAGCTCGTCCATGTAGTGGTTGCAGCGTTGGGCTGCTTGCCAGGCTTGTTGGAGCGCTTCATCGAGGGCAGCCACTCCGCCTTCTTCAATGGCCAGGAAGGACCAGCTGACTCCATCCAAGGCGTTTTGCGACGCTGCTGTGCCTGCTAGGGCTCCTGGCGCCCTTGGATCTTTAGCCCAGCTTTTGAAGACGGCTCGCCCATCTCGAAGTAGGTCATCGGCGCGACGGAGCTCTTTTATAAGGTGCCGTTGTGGTAGTTCGCCATGGTGGTGGACCAGACTTTCCAGCGCTGCCTCGGCTTCCACAAGGGCGTTGGTGATGCTGAAGACCATGGCTGTGGGGGCCGAGGTAGCATTTTGCCCGGGGCACCCCCCGCTTGCTGTCGCTGGCTGCGCGTTTCTGTCATTGGTGCTCTGGAGCTTGGAGACATAGTAGCAGGCGTGGTATGCGAGGCTGGTGAGGTAGTCGTTGGGCAGGGCAAAGGACTGCTGGAGCATCTCGTGGAGGATCTTCTGCAGTAACCTCAAGAGGCCATGCACTGTGAAGTCTCCCTCGAAGTTGGCCGCCACCGAAAACCAGGCATGATCGTCAACAGCCGGCTGCACGTCCCCCGTCGCATCAAGGTCAGGGCCGGGGTCTGCATGTGGGGGCGCGGCTTCCCTGTCTTCCGGTGAGGTCGCAGTTGGTGTCTTTCCTGTTTGCATGAGAACGAGGTCCTCCGTAGAGTTCATCAGCATGGCATTGTCCCCGGCGTGGCGGGGGGCCGATTCGAAAAGAGCGCTGCTGTCGTGCTGTTCACCCGGTGGGTCCTCGCTCGGCCAACTTGTCTCTGACTCGGAGCCCGATGTAGTCGTTGGTGGCTGCGGTGGTTTGGCCTTGCCTTTGGCCACAGGCTTAGCTTGTCTCCCTTGGTTGTGGTCGTTGTGGCCGACCCCAGCTGCCGTTGAAGTGGGTTCCTGCGGCCTGGAAGACGAGGATGATGACGACGTGGCTGGCTGTATGAGGCGCCCTCTCAAAGGTCTGGTATCCACGAAGTTCTGCGGGTTAAACCCCCGTGGCTGCTGCTGACTGCTGCGATGTCCCGTTGTAGGATCCCTTCGCTGCGGCGGCGTTGGTGGTCTCGGCGGGTCTGCGCTAGGTATCGAGGGAAATCCCCCGAGGACTGCCACATCATTGGGAAATCGTGGTCTCCTTTGCCAGAGGCGTTCTTCGCCCCTCCACTCCAGCCAAAAGCTTGTACCAGTGCTCAGCTGCATGCGGTCTGGAGCTGGCGGCGGGGCATAGTCAATCTCCACCAGCCAATATCTTGGTGTTCTGGCAAACCCCAATTCGAAACGTGTGGTGGCGATCCAAGCCCCCGCTGGGTGCAAAGAAAGATGCATCCCATCGGGGAGGACTCCCCGGTCTGGTCTCCCCGCCAGTGTTTTGTAAAGCACAATAGTGGGCTCAACATTGAGCCTGGCTGGGCGCCTGACCAACGAATTGGTCGTTGGCGACCAGGTAACTCCTCGCCAGGATCCGGTGGCACTTGCTCGCATGCTCAGAATCGTCCTGGGATGAAGCGGCATCGGTGGTGGGAGCGTGGCCGGGGTAATCCCCTGGACCCATGAAATGTCATGGCTGTTGTCGTCGACTCGAACACTGCTTCGCATGCTGGGGCCGTCTCCGTCCACCTGCAGTGTTGGTGCCCTGCCCTCCGCGATGGCCTGGGTCGCCTGGTGTTCTAGGTCCGAGATGTCCGGGAGGGGTGGCCCCCCTGTCTCCGTTGGCGGTTCTCGTGGTCCTCTGGAACTCGAGGCAGCTCCAGGCACGCGCGGGTAGTCCGTGATATGCGCAGGCTGTACTACCAGGAGGTCGCCCACCACATTGTGGAGATGGTTGTGAAGTTGCTGGTCCGCCGTGTTCTGGGGTTGCCCCCCAGAGTCATGCCCCGGGATGGGGCGATTGTCGATAATCTGGACGGGATAGTTGGCAACTCCATCTCCACGAAGTTGAACCTCCGTGCTGTCTGAGAGCTTCCTCCAAGTGTGCTGTCTGCGGATAGGGCGCGGAGGATTCTCGCGGTGATCCTCTGGCAATTGGAAGCTAACCCTTTGTTGATTGCGGGCTGGCTGCTGCGGTGGCCGTTGTTGTGGCGGCTGTGCTTGTGGCCCGAGTTGGGCCTGTCGTGGTGCTTGCCGCTGCTGTGTTTGCGTCGTCGCTGCGGTGTGTCGGGCAGGTTCTCCCCCCGAGTGAGATGGCTGTTGTTGATGGGCCTGCTGTTGTTGTGGTAGGGGCTGTGGGGGGTCTGAAGCGGCGGAGGCTGCTGTTGAACCATGGCTCGAGGTTGCTTCCGTCGCTGCTGCTGTGGTTCTAGGTCGGGCGCTGGGTTGCTGCAGGTATGGGTTCGTTGCCCGCCTTTTGGCATGGTCTTCCCTTGCTTGGTTGAGGGCTTTTTCCCCCTGCTGTCCCGTCTGGCTCTGTGGTGGTGGCTGGGTGTGGTGAGGGATGAGCCTCCCCTGAGCGTCGTAGCTGTAGTGGTGGGCTGCGAGGGCGGCCTTGAGGAGCTCGCGCTGTGGGGATGGTGTCGGCGGCAGCGGCTCTTTGGCAGGAGGTGGCTCACCACGTCTGATGTACTGCAGCGCTGCTCTCCAACTCAGCCACTTGGGTTTCGGCCCCCAGCCCAGTTCACGCCACAGCTTTTTGACATCTGACTTCTTGGCTTTGTTGGCCACTCGCTGTGATCCGTGCCCAGCAGCGCGCTTGGGGGCTTTCGCCCTGGCTTGGTGGCTGCTGCTTGTGTTTGTTCGTCCTCTTCCTCCTCTGTGTCTGGCTGGTCGCTGTCCCATTCCAGGTCATCATCCGGGACATCGGTGAGCTCGTCATCGGCCTCCTCCTGAAGGGGGATGTCCCCTTCTCCAGCTTCCTCTGTTGTTTCGTCCAGTTCTTCTCCAGGGAATGCTTCTTCGCAGCTGTTGTCCGCCGCGCATGTAGGCTCGGCCGTAGACGCTACTGAGGTAGCGTCGGGCTGGGCTTGGTCTCGATATCGTCCGAGACCCAGGGCATTATGGCTCCATTGGTCTGGTGGTAGTAGAGGTCCCTGCGATGCGTAGTGTCTGGCAATGAACCCCCACGGATCCATCGTTGGTGGTTGGAATTGTCCAGCCCCAGGAATCGCTGGGACTCCTGTGCCGGTGCTTGCTTGCGCCAAGTGGTGTTGGTGCTGTGGGAGGTGTTGAGGCTGCATGGGGCCTTGGTTCTGCGGCGGTGTCATCTGGGCTTGGGCTTGAGCTTGTGGTTGGTATTGGCTCTGCATGGGGATCTGCGCTTGGCCCCGATAGGGTATTGGCAGCGGTTGCATCGGCTGCTGAGGTTGGTCCAGGTCGTCTTCCCACGGGTCGTAGGGCATCTGTGTTGGTTGGTTGGGTCTCCCCGGGAACATACCATCTTCATGCCAGGGATCAGACGCAGGGTCATAAGCTTGGGCGTAGCCAATCCTGTAGGTGGCATAGCGCTCCTCGGTCACAGGGGCTCCTGTGGCAACTTGCTGGTATTGAGGTATTCCCCCTTGTGGTGCAGCTCCGTGGTGGGTCTGCATGGGGGGCGGCTGTTGTTGCTGAGGGATCCACCCCCAACTGTGGGCCGTTCTTTG